GCAGCTCGAGTAACTGACTCTCTGAAAGCGTCTACAGGTGATGTATCCATTGTTCAGAATAACATATTGGGTGTTTCAGCTAACTTGTGCCAAGGGTTAAAAAGGAACTGGTGCATGCTACGTATGACAAACCAACAGAGCACCTATTCCTAGTGTAACTATGCAGGCTTTGCTCGCAGAGCCAGAGTATCGCATTCATTTTCCTTTCGCTGCCAACTCCGTATTGGCGGAGGAGTGATTACATGCGCAAAACTGAATCCAAAGTTCATGGGGAAAAGCGGCCTTGCGGTGCCCCGAGTTTTGGGCGGAACATATTTCCCGCTTTGCGTTCCCGAAGTATAAATCCAAGACTGAAATCGAACAAACAGAAGGCTTCCTAAACCATTGAACATTATCTGTAGCAACTGGGTACAATAAAATCGCGTTTTTCTTATAACGCGAGCAATGTTTTAAAACACCAGCGTCCGGGAAGCAGACGACACGGATGACGATCTCGTCCGAGGGTCTTGCAGAGCGATAAATGCGATTTGCTTTCAAGAGGGGCGAGGGGGACACGACCGACGGGACAACAGCGTGTGCACAGCTCGTCGCCGCACTGTTTTCTTTACACAGCGTGCCACAGCACTACGCCTCGTGGTTGCGCCGCCGAGCCTCTGTGTCTCCTACATGACCGTCGCAATGCCTTTCCGCAGTGCTTGCATCCAGAATGGGCACCATTGCGATACTCTGCTACGCAAGCGTAGCATACAAAGTTGCCCTACCTGGATGGATGGATGGATGAATTCGGCTGAGCCTTTTGGATCGGGCGGTATCTTATGTCACCTAGCCATTTTGTTTTACCATTTAAGCTTAGAATATTTAAATATGAAAACTATATTCACTCCGCACTGAAAAGAAAGTGAGGCTATGAAAACCCCCTTGCCATCAGTTAATAGAAAATACCTAGCTTTCCCTCGCTTTCTGCCACCATTCACTTAATCTTTGTTTGGTAATCTCTACTTTCTTAAAATGCACTCTTCCTTCGCTGTCTCTAAAACCCAATGACTTTATTAAATCTACCTTAAAACCTTTTCCTGAATCAAAGCGCCCCTGGTGGTGAGGTGTCACGAAATGCAGTCTGGATACCAGTTGGCCACTTAGTTTCGGTTTAAAATTTTGCTTTGCTCATCATGTTGTGAGATTCGTGACGGAACACGCTGCTTGTGTTTTAATTGCTCCGAGCTCCCACAAGTGTACAATACTCTAGGTGTTGACGAGCGATACTGAAAAAAAATGCTGAGCGCCGTTTTACTGGTTTCCGACGTGTCAAATTTGGAGCAAAAGTAGGCAAATGTAGAATAATAGATTGCAAGCACATCCTCATGCACGTGAAGGCAACTTCAGTAGCCTTGAAATTGCAACTGCTTCGCCGCATAAGCAGAAACGGGCTGTTTGATTGAAACCCAAACCATGGCACACCGTCCCGTGGCCATCTGGTTCCCAGAGTGCAACGCGCGGAACGTTTCATGGAAGGATTTTTAAAAGTGGCCTATTCGCAACTTTTACGACTTATAGGGGGCGCATTGGTGCCCATCAAAATGGCTGTCATGTGGATGATCGTGGTTGAACAGGAGTACGAGGCTGGGTGTACGACGGGTATTTAATTCTAGTTTTGATATACGACCTCCATTAAAGCTTTACTTAATTTTTTTACGCCAAAAAGGGGATGGCAAGCACCTTTATTCTGAAGCCTATCATCCAGGAGCTAGAGAGCGCCATTCTCACACCGCGGTATCACTATCGCTGAAAGTTGGGAATACATCAATGTCATGATATTTTTTGCAGTTTTTCTGGCCAATTAACAAAGGTGAATTAATGTTTGAAATATCTATTTGTGCACAAATCCTCCAATAAGTTTTATGGCCTCTTAAGAAACATTCAATCATGTCGTTTTCATCGAGATAACCTCTGTGTGTCTCCTGCATGGATTGGCGTGCCATTAAAGTAAATGGGAACGTGAAGGTTTTCTGATGCAGTAGCTTCGGGCTCATAATTGTCAGTTATCTTATTTTGTCCAGGGCCCTTCTCTGACTGAGGATTGAGCTGTGTGAAACGACACACAAGTCGGAAGTTTCTACTCTCGGGATATGTTTTTTGTGATACCTTTTTCATAGTTTTTAGTCTTCCTCAAGGCTGGGCAATCTTTTATAATTATATTCCTGTTCCTGAAAATAAAATTTATATTTTAGTCATTTTTAGTCAGTCATGCGTGCATTTGCAAAATCACAAACAGCTTAATCCTGGCTATATGCTCATATATTAACTGTAGGTTATACACTTCTAAACTGCAACGTCTCCTCTTGGATATTCTGAAAGCATAAGGGCATATTAAATAGCATTCTTGAGCATGTAACCAGAATTGAGTGAAAGAAGTAATTTAAATGTGTCTAGGTTTTTAAACGCAACTACAGGGACAAAGAGAAAGGCAAGACAGGGATGTACGTCCTTCAACTCACAATTATGCCCACTTTTGTGGCGTGGTCTTCACACCGTCCCTCAGAAAAAAAAGAAGGGTACGAAGATTATGTTTAAAAGTCTTAAGTAGTTGTGAGCTGAATGCGTTCCGTACCTGCTTGGTTTTGTTTGTCCCTTGTGCTTGTGTTCTAAAACCTCAAGCACATTTAAATTATTTCTTTCACTCATTCTGATTATATGCTTGTACATATGCATCAAATTGCACATTTAAATAACAAAAGCAACCATCAGCATATGTTCTGAGAATGAACGAAAAATGTCCTGAAGGGGACCCCCCGGACATACGGAGGATGCGCAATGGACGGACAAATGGATCCTGTATGGACAGCTTGAGGATGAGTTGGGGACTACCTATGTCCAATCATCGCGACCTGGACATCCTGAGGATGTCCATAGGATGTCTTTGTGTTGTCTGGGCATGGAGTGACCCCAGACAACACACAGACATCCGCTGGACATCCAAAGGATGTCCCGACTGGGACATTAGGGACGTCCTGCGGATGTCCGAATAATGTCCAGAAGACATCCGGTGAAACACAAAAGGACGTCCTCAGGATGTCCAGGAAAGGATGTTTCCTGGACTTTATTAGGACATATATAGGACATTGTATATTTTCATACTGGTGTACTAATTTACACTACAGTGGGATAAGACCACACAAGTCTCGAAACAAATAAAGCTTTATTATTTCAATGTAAAAAGCAAAGACAGAGAAATAACATATGAGGTGGCATCAATAAGTATCTGAACAGCCACCACTGAACAAAAAGAAAATGCAGCACCACAGTGCGACACACCTGACCCTTCCTAGCAGGCTTGCCAGTCACTGTGTGGTGACAAAATGAATTCCGAGCTATGCTTGTTTGTTTAAAAGGTATTTCACAACTTTCTGACCGCATAAGGCAAATAAAAAGCTCAAACAGCACGTTTACATCAAATTTCCTGTGAGAATTGGGAAGAACATGTCAAAATACCACACACTCCTCACCAAGCATTTGGTGACCATGATTTAGTAAAAACATGTATGAGTGAGTGGCATGGACATTTTAGGCAAGGCCAAGAATTCCTTGGAGACGATGAAGAGAATGCCCTCCGAGAAACATAACATTTCAGAATGCCGAAAAAAAATATATGTTATTTCACGAAGACCGTCGGAAGCGCATTTCGGATATTGCTGAACCATAAATAATGTCGAGTTGTTCAGCAATGTCCGAAATCGTTCTCAGAAAGTGTTACTGAATTAACGAGGATTTTTTCTGCATTTTTAAATGTTAGGTTTGTTGGAGGGCATCCTCTTGATTCATTGTTTTCAAGCCATTCTCAGCCTCACTTAAAATGCCCATGCCACTCACAGATTTGTGTAACCTAGATCAGTCACCGAATGCTTGCTGACGGAGTTTCTAATGTGTTCTTCTAAATTTTCACAGAAAATGATGTATGGACGTGGTTCGAGTTTTTCATTTGTGTTTCACGGTGAGAAAGTTGCAAAATCCCTTCTGAATAAACAAGCACAGCTAGAGATCACTCTCGCCCTGCACAGTAAATTTCGGCACAGACTGCAAGCTTGTCAGGAAGTGTCACACTGCTGTACTTGTTTTGTTTTTGTTCAGGGATGCCAGTTCAGAAACGTTTTGATGCCCCCTCATATTATCACAGTATTTCACTAGAATGCTTACTTCTGCATATCACTCAAACATTTCCTTTGAAGTGCAGAAACATAGAATATGTTATCACAGTATTGCACTAGAGTTGTTAATTATAAAAAAAATAACACATTATCTAAAACTGAAATACAGTTATGGCAAGGCATAGAAGCAGTACATGCCAAGTACTAAAAATGCAAGTTGCAGGACAATAATGCCAGTAAAAATGACTAACCCCCTTTCAGCTTAGGGGCCAACAGTGTATAATGATTGTATGCAAGTCGTGCAAAAGAATTACTTTGGCAAAATCTAGAAAAAATATTGCCATGTGACCAAGTTCAGCAAGACCAGACATCTACATTAAATAATGCACAAAGTCTACAATAGCAGTCGAGCACTGAATAGCTAAATTTATACTAAAAGCAAGTGACATCAGTGACTCTGAACTTGCTTAGTACAGGAAAAAATGCATGAACTGCATAGAAAAGAGTAGTGTAAACAAGTGTGACAAATACATCTTGTATAAAGTATCACAAAACTGAAATGCCAGAATGGCTGTTAGAATATTGAATCGATAGTGAATTGCCAAAAAAATATTGGTGCACATCTTACATACAGGGCACTTCATAGGAACTATATAAATTGTTGTCTTAATGTACTGTGCTACAATTTACGACACTGGTATCCGTAGGTGGTGAAATTTTCCATCCAAATTTCAATGAATGGCTTTACCTGAGAAGAAAGTTAAAAAATAGGAATGTCTTCTCCTTATCTGCAGCATTCGCCTAACGTCACAAGTCTGACTGGTGAAACAGCCGAAACAGCCGAAAAAACCAAAAATGCTATGCGAGTATTTTATTTGTGAACTGCTGCTGCAGTTTATCAGCTGTTCCAACAATCAGATGTGTGCCATAAGCAAGCAAACACCATATGTAGAGAAAAGCATTCAGACTTTTAAACTTTTACTCAATTAAGTTGTTTCTTTGAAAATGTAGCTCTCCAGATACATTACCACACTCCCTGCGGGCACCGCCGTTGCAAATTGTAGTGAAAAACGTTAAGAAACAGACTTGCATAGTTCCTTTCAAAGGGCTGCCCTGTTGAAGTGATTTCTTAGTTTAGTGTAAATGGTGTGCCGTCCTTCCTTCCCATGGACTTTTTTTCTGCCGCTGCCCGCTCAGCAGCATGACGGAGCCACGACATGCCTGCTTTTTCTATGTCCTTCTTAGTTGCCTTGGCTTCTTCCAAGTTTTGACGGTAGGTGAGGGTGCCTGCATATAAAAAAGTTGTTGTCAAGTTCAGCAAGATATTTTAGACGGGCAGAAAAAATGTGAGCTGCATTATGCAGTCAAGCTAACTGCCATATCAACAACTTCAGGCGAAGTATGCATAAGCAGGAACCAATTTCATTATTCTTGCAAACAAACCAAATGAGAAACACAACCCTTAAGCAAATTTGTTTTGATGTGCCTGCGTCACTCTACAGCAGTAGCAATCAGTTCATCGAATGCTATTTCATTGACAGATCCTTCGACAGCCTCTTCTTCGCGACATAGCCTTGCATGTACTTCTTTGGTGGCCTGGATGTTGTTGGCATGTAATAAAGCGGAGCCTCTTTACCGACATTCTGTTTCCGCCATCCCCATTACTATCCTAGCCGGCTAAGCCTTTGGCGATTCCAAACAGGCTTACCAAAGGCGGGAGCCGGAGGGGATGTTAAACTCCCAAGCGGAGTGAAGCAAGGGATGACAGTGCACAACGCGGTCTGTTAGAAAGCCTAGCTTGCCGGAATCAGCAAAATAAAGCCAAAAGTCCAATGCAATCCACCTAGCGAAATAGTAAGTGACTAGCTCAAGATGCTAGTAACTGGTACTACTCTCATGAACAGAAACTAGTTGCAAGCACTACTTCTAAATAAAAACTGGTGCTCAAAGTAGCCAGAACAGCTAGATGATGCAGCGGCATGTGCTTTGTGTAAGCAGTGCCAATGAAATGTGTGTCAATAAAAAGTTGTCAGTGAAACGTGCATCTATGAAATGATACAAAACCCTTCTACAGGTAGCCATCACATTCCCGGGCATTATGTGGAAAAGCCGATCCACGGTACCTGAAGGCTACGTCTAGTGGATCTAGGACCGTTACTGTGTACCATTTTAAAGAAATAAGAACATGTCTTTTTTTCTTCGGTGGTTGGTGGCGGGACAAGTGCAGGTGCCTGTTATAAACTGCTCTGCTGTATAAGAACATCAATGTAACACTGGGAAAAAAAAGTGACTTACACACTGGAAAATATGCTCTAATTATTTCATTTGTTACACTCTTATATCAAGTTATATACCAAATTTTCCGAAAAGGTTTTGCACTATTCTTTTATATTAGACTTCAGTACATACTAAGAATTGCACTTGTGCAGGTTCAGATATCTAACTTACTGCACAGGAGCTTGCAGATGTTGAGATCAGAAAACTTGTGTTTTCCCTTGGTGCCACACCAGCTGTACTCGGCTGCGACACTTGAAGAAAGTATACTTCTCAAAATTCGGGTGGTCCGTTCTTTAGGTGTATCACCTCCTTGAACTAACATGTGTTGTCTCTGGTAAAAAAAGAATCAAAACAGCAATCAGATCAGAAATATGGGCTAACATTAAACTACTAACTCATTTAGAATTTTAAGCATATCACAATCTTAGTGTGGTTTCATAAGCATAGTGGTTCTCAAGCGTTTTATCACCACTGGCACATAAAGCATTCACATTGTTAAAACACTGAAAAATTTTCAAAATGTGCCGTAGTTCTAATAGCTATGTTGAGATATCGATTTTGATGGCATAGCAGGAACATCTTCCCTACGGATGCACATAAATCTTAGAAACAAAACCACATGCTTAGAAGTATGGGCACTATGAGATCATTTCCGCCCAATTTTGACTCGCCTTCTCGGTACTGTAAGAGTGACCGACATATACACATGATGCAAATTAAAGTTAGGTATATCTAAACTTAAAAAATAAGATTTTATTGACAACACTGAAGTACCTTTCAGGAATTCAGTCATGAAATGTGATTACTAACACGAAATTGTGTTCATGCATCTAATGAGGTTCTATTGTAAGCTATGCTTGTAACTGAACTCTGGCACCTGGTAAGGAAACCTTTATCACCTGATTATTTACAAGGTGGAGTTCCAAAAATACAGTTGCTCATAACAAAAAAAAAGTTCAATCATGCATAGATGCAAAATACAGAGCTTAGTTTAGAATAACCATCATTTACCATACGAAGTCTTGCTCTCTTGTCGACCTCCAGCTCTTTGTCAAAGTGCACGAAGTCCTGTACTGTAGAAAAAGGCAAGTCCGGCAGGCCCTCTGGATCAAGTGGGGCATCTTCGGTGTTTCTGAGCAGCAAGCTAAAGTACTCGGAGTGGGTCTGCTGTGTCACCTTGATGGAATTCAGTGCCAACAGGATCCTTTCCATAAACACTGAAATGGACAGAACAGAGCTCCATCTTGCAGCCACATTAGCATCCTCATTGCAGAACTGTTGACATAACATGAAATAGTAACTCTCCGTGATATAGCAAAGTTAAAGGAGTATGAAAGCAGTTTCTGAGAGTTCTTTAGTGACAATAACTCAATCTAAGTGCTCCAAGCGTTCTGAAAACCCGAAATTACACAATCAGGCGTGGCCCATTTTCCTACTAAAAACACGATTAAAGATTGTTACACGCCCCCTTCTCTGAGATGAATATTATTGTGAGGCAGCCAACAAGGGGCGCTTGTCAGCCAATTGCTAGCGATGGCTTTTCGTGCAGCCAACGAGTGGCGTGATTTCTGAACGTGTGGATCGGACTTCTTTTCAAAACAAACTATAATAGTACAAACAGTCAAAATCTCCACACATTCAAGTGTTTTCATTGCTCTAGTGTGTATAGTATGCATGTATTTCTGTTGCCTCGAGATACATAGGCAGTTTCGTAATTTGGCACTGGATATATTTATTAACTGGCACCTATAAAATAACATCAAGAACAATCTTATTCAGAAACCACCTTAGTGCCTCTTTAAATAAAAACACTAAGATAAATACTGCTCCTGACATATATTGTATGTTTTAGGAAAGCCATGCCCCTCACGACAACTCACACTCATTATAAAAAAATGTTTCTAGACACAATACCTTTTCCGAATCGTCTTTGTCATGCACGTAGCATAAGAAGTAGAAGCCCAGAAACCACTATCGCAAAATTTGTTTCTGATTGAAGATCTAAATATATATTACATACCAGGCACCTGTGCATCTGTGTTTACCCGTCCAGTGCCAGGGTGAGACATGTTCATAGGGGTTACAGGTGCATCTGAAATTTTATAAAATGCTGTTCTTGTTACATCGAGTCGGTTCACAGGAGACCACTGGTCAAATCGGTTTAATCAATTCGGAGCCCGGCGTTCGTCAGCCCGCGCACCCCGAGCCTCGAGCGCTCGGTGCCCACGCTCCTCGAGTGGCCACGAGCTGATAAGCGCCAGTCTGTCAGTCAGTACATAACAGTTCTCAGCTTCGATGTTATTTCGAAGGATATGAAAACTTTAGCATTCACAAAATAAAACTCACCGTGGTGTTGCTGCCACAGTGTTGCCGCCGCTAGAGGGACATCATTGGCACCTGAAATTGACAAGCAATTTTGCACAAAATGCTGAATGCTATAAAAATATTTAAAAAAGGTGAGAAAGAAATGAGTCAAATCTATCGAATGCCACTTAAGCTGCAAGATATACCTGCAGGCCGGATGCTTGAGTGAGGTGTCCTGCTCCTGTATAGAGTGTGCACTGGGGGGACGCTGTGGACACCTGAAACCAAAAAGAGTTTTTTTACAAAATGCCGAATGTTAAAGAAAATCCGAGAACATGCGAGAAAAAAATGTGTCAAATCCATCAAATGCAACTTCCGCTGTAAGATCTACCTGTGGGCTGGATACTTGAATGGGGCAAAATGTTCGCATATGGTGTGTGCACTGGTGGACCCAAGTCATCACCTGAAATTGAAAACAGATTCTCTACAAAATGCTGAATGTTAACAGGAAATTCAAGAACATGTGAGAAAGAAAGGAGTCGAATCCATAAAACATAACTTTAGCTGCAAGATCTACCTGTAGGCTGGATGCTCGGGCTGGACATCATCCTGTTCGTGTGGGATGCGTGTACAAGCTGGACATTGTCGAGACCTGGAATCAAAATTAAATTATCTACAGAACACTCACCTTGTGCACAAGCAGTTACCTATGTACTGTGGCTGCATGCGTGAAGACTGGGCACGTGCTTGGGATGTGGCTTGGGACGTGACAGTTTCGTACAGGGCTGCAGAGGAAATAGTCACACTTACTCAATCCATGTACCTGAACATGCACTGAAGAGACATAAGGTATACACACCAGAGTGATGCAGAGGTGACTTAGAGAAGTTGGCACCTGGCAAAGGAGGAATAGTTGGTAGTAAGCCGTTTGAAGTTACACTAGATGTTTTCAAAGAATTATTTTTTTCAACCGTCCTAGAGCATCGCCAACAATGCACGATGCCATACCTGTTTTCTTCCGTGGCTGGGGTGGCGTGGGTGGTTTTGGTGGTTCATATTCATCGTCGGAACCTGTAGTGTCGGTGCTGTCATCATAGTCAAAAGGAAAGGTCGGACGGCGTTTTCGCTTGCCACGACCTAGCTCTTCTTCACTAGTGAAGTCTGACGTATACTCCAGAGCCTGAAGTTTCTCCAGCGCCTTCTCATATGTGTCTGAAAGAAATTTACGCATTGAGAACTGGAAAGAATTTAGAGCAAAAAAGCACTTACCAGCCCAGTCCTTGATCAGGCATTTGACCTGCATCCAACTGTCTTGTGGTTTGACGCCTTCGATTGTCATTCGACGACGCTTGTTAGGATTTTTTTCCTTAGGCCAAAATGTCGTTTCAGTGCTTTCAACGAGCCATGTTTTGTGAATAATGGCCAAGCTGTGATCTTCTTCAGGAAATGCTACAATAGCAAACTTGTCACCTGAGCGAAGCAGGAAAGGCAAGCATTTGCATGTCCACCGAGTTATTTTTCCCTCTTTAATGCAGCATACTAAAACCGAACTAGCTTGTCCAGTTCATCTACAAACAATATCATAAACTAGATTATTAATAAACAAGCAGCCATAAAAAAAATTCACTGTAGGTGCACCATTGGAATAACGGCAAATTTGTTTGCCAATGGGAGTCTCACACATTTCACTGCAATTTCTGAAAGTGGCCAGAAGTGAATGTCAGACAGTTCAGATGCAAGGAAGATGTTCAGCAATGATGAACTGCAGGGATAGCTGTAAAGGTCTTCTAGACTCTGGTACCTCCTTCCAACCAACACTGGTTGATAGTTCACTGCAGTGCGTGCAATGTTTTCAACCTTGATGATACTCTTGTCTTTTAACATGCAAGTGCAGTCTTTTTTGTTTGTTTTGATGGTGATGCCAGCAGGAAACGTCACGGTCTTATACTGAGGTCCAATGCATCCGAGCGGCAATGGTCGACCTTCATGCCTTGCTGTCAGCTTGAAACTTTCTCCTCCAAGGAAGACAGAGGAGACGGGTGGAGTCGATGCTGCCGACTCTCCAGTGTTGACAGCAGGAGATGCAACCAAAAATCGTTCTTCTACGATTCGATTGTAGACTTGCTGCAAGGGCCTTTCTGGTTTGCGTACATAGCTTTTGAGTTTACGCATGTAATTTTCGAATGGGAAAGCACTATAGTTGTGAAGAGGTCCATGAACTCTTACGTCGCTTGCCACATGAATCAAGCCATGAACATTGTGAGAGACTGCATGTCTACCATATAGTGTTATGTAGGTCTCAACAAAATGCCTTAAGAGCCTTTCTGCATACCCTAAGTGCTCTCTACAGAGTAATGGGCTGCAAAGTATGGTGACTGCACAGTGAAGTGTCATGAAGTTGTCCATCAGAGGCTTGGGGATCCTTGACCTCAGCACCGCTGGCCCCGTGTAAAGAACAAGCAAGCGAAATTCTGACGCTTTCCACCTATCAATGTCGGACAAGCTGCGTGGCTTCCGAGACATGTCTGATCGCACATAGTGCCTCATTTCAATGTTAGCTCCCGACACAGAATCTCTTGATGCACTTCCAATGCGGTAGGTTTTATCACCTTTCAGCCAAAGGAGTACAAGCTTGCGCACAACACCCAGACAGATGAGGTGCATATAGTCAAGTGGCACCTGGTCAACAATATCTATGGGAAGTTCTTTTAAGATAGTTTCCATGATGTGGTGGTCCTCTTGCTCTGCACGCCTAAAGCTAGCATTTGTTCGTAATGGAGCATCAAGATCAGGGAAGCACATTCGTCCCCGCACAAATTCTCCTTCAGTCGTGCACTTTGAGCAACTGAAGTAGCCGCTGTGCCCTTTGGTGCCAAGAATGTATGACTTGGCAGGCGCGTCGCAGATTATTGCTCCAACTTGCACTCGGAAGACCCTGTTGCCAATAGCAACACCTTCAGAGAGAACACCTTTCAGGTCAGACACAAACGGACTAAGGAAGACATTTGACTGAAGAGCCTTACACTGGCCATGATAGACACCAACTGGAAATGGGTCACTGCCTGCACAGTTAGCAGCTTGGCAGAGAATGGGCCAGAACTGATCCCGCGTGCTTTTCGTCAATGGTAGTCCATCTACATTCACATGAAGGATTATTGGATCTGGTATATTGCGCACAGGTTGCAGCGCTGCCCTGAGCCCCTCACTCAAGCCTAAATGGCAGTAATGGCCGGAATCCATGGGCCTCACATTATCAGTGACTCTTGGTGTAGACAAAAGTGCCCTGGCACATGTTGGGAGGTCTGAGAAACAAGAATGCGAGTGCAGTATCTTCAGGAGCTTTGTAACGGTATCATGAGGAACAGCCCCCTCTACGTTCCACCGCCGCAGCTTTTCCTTGAAACGTGAAACGTCGGATTCCTCTGATTCAGACGATTCATCCAACTCGACATTCCTTCGATTGTCTCTTTTTAAATGGTGTTCACGACTGTAAGGCAAGCCTTCCGAATCTACAGGGACGCCTCGTCTCGAGTGAATGGCGCTTGCACCGAAGACCGGTTCCGGAGTATCAGGCACAGTCTCAGAAAAACAGCACGTTGTCGGGACATCTTGCTGATACGAGAGACGTGATGGTTCTGCAATTAGTTCCGGCGATCCCGCGTGTTTTTGCGGCGCTCCTGCAACTAGTTCCGGCGACCCAGCGGGCCTTTCTACAGAAGCCTCATCCAAAGCTTCAGCTGAGCACATTGCATTTTCTCTACTAACTGACAGTATAAGTTTGAGATCGCTTTCCGCCGCACGACGAACGCGCCGATAAGCTGTTGTTCTGGGTAGAGCAGCCATATTGTCCATATTTACGATCTTCGAGTGGTTCGCCTTGTCTTGCAACAGCCAAGCTCTGCGAACGATGGGAATGTTGTAACACTTTCATTACTCGGCCTAAAGTCATGTCACATAATACGGAGTATTAGCAAAGCGTTACTGTTGGCTATTGCGAGCGCGGTAGCCCTCTGGCCGCGCGCTGCTTCAAAGGGGGAGCGCGAGCCTCAATACCGCTGTGGCGGATCAGGGGACCGGTTTGGTAAAAATCCCGACTGTCGCTCCAAACAAAACGTTAAATCATACTTACTTCCTCCAGCCATGGTGGCTAGTAAGTTGTCAGGTTAGCGCAGTAGCACGGTAGCACGGCAGTACGGCAGCACTCCGGACTCCGGGCTGTAGTCGGCTGTAGGGCTGCCAGGGCTGCAGCTTTCCCGCGCGCACGCTATTAATGATGATGATGATTGCACAGCGGTGGCGATTGAAAGCTCTGCCTGAATTACTTAATTTCACTAATGTAATTATCTATGTTTTATAAAAAAAAAAATAATTTGTAAAAATATTGTTATGGCAGAAGGCAATTCGAAGGCTTTGTTCTGTCAGGTTCGCCGTCAGCCTTTAATGGCGTCCATTCTCTCACTGGCACACACTAATCTTCTTCTTCCTTCCTCTATTTGCAAGTCTTCGTCTTGCACAACACTCTTTACGGTGTGATATTCTTCGTCTTGCACAACACTCTTTACGGTGTGAGTCTTCGTCTTCCACAACACTGCACCCCTCCCTGTAGAGGCTCTCGTCCCGAGGCCCGCATAAGTGTTCACTTAGTGTGGTATGGTGCGAGACGATCAAAATGGACTGTCTGAGGTCTATGGTTGTTAACATGGCGGATCCGGTAGACAACATCGTTCAGTTTCTTGATGATCTCGTAGGGGCCATCCCAGTTTCGTTGTAGTTTTGGACTACGACCTTTGGTTCTAGTTGGTCTGTATAGCCACACCAAATCTCCAGGTTCCAGTTGGTGGCTGGATGCGCTTCGATTGTAGCGAGTCTCTGCATGGCTGCTGCTGAGTTGTAAATGCCTTCGTGCGAAGTCATGGACAGATTCCAATTTCTTGCGTAAATGGAGAGCGTGATCTAAGTGAACATTTTCACGTGTTGCCTCCCGTGGTGGTGGCGCCGGAGTACCGAACATAATGTCCGCAGGTATTCTTAGCTCTCTCCCCATGAGCAACATTGATGGTGTGTACTCTGTTGCTGCGTGGACAGCTGAACGGTAGGCAAGTAAAAAGAGGGGAACCAGTTCGTCCCAGTTGTCCTGGTGCTCGTTGACAAAGAGAGATAGATATTGCTTAAGGGTGCGGTTGAGCCTCTCCACCATACCGTTCGACTGTGGATGTAATGGTGTTGTTCTAGTTTTCTTTATGCCAAGTGCTGTGCACAAATTCTTGAAGGTCTGCGACTCAAAAGTGCGTCCCTGATCAGAATGGATTTCTAGGGGCACTCCGTACCTCGATACGATGTCTGTAAGCAAGATTCGAGTGATGGTTGCTGCGTCGTACTTACGAACAGGGAAAGCTTCTGGCCACTTTGTGAAGTAGTCTGCAATTACTATTAGATACCGATTTCCTTCTCTTGTTTCTGGTAGTGGCCCTACGACGTCAATGGCTACTCGCTCAAACGGCACGCCAACGTTGTATGTTCTCATCTGTCCTCGGCAACGAGAGGGAGGTCCTTTGCGCGATGTGCAGTGGTCACAGCCTCTGCACCATTCGCGCACGTCACGGCTGGCGCCAACCCAGTAGAATCTGTCACGCACTCTCTGTAGAGTTTTGTGTACCCCAAAATGTCCGCCCGTAGGACTGTCATGGAGTTCCTGCAGCACAGTTTTGACTCGCACTTGAGGCAGGACAAGTTGAAGGGAAAAGTTAACTCCATCGTTGTTTTCCCAGCAGCGAAACAGGAGGCCGTTTTGTATGAGGAGAGAATCCCATTGAGCCCACTAGGCTTTGACAACATGGTTGTGCGGTGCAACCCGGTACCAATCCGGCCTTTCGCCTTCTTGCTTCCACTGTATAAGAAGCCGAATATTGTCGTCCTTTCTTTGAAGCGTACGCAAAGTTTCGTCACTCCAGTCAGTGGGGTCATCATCGGTTGATGGACGCGTGATCACCGCCTGTCGCGTGACCGTTGACTGAGACGGTGGATTCGTGCTGTTGAGGTCGGAGTGCTCTTCAGCATCAAGGCACGGGTAGCAATCTTTTCGTGAGCAAGGCCTTCGCGAGAGTGCATCGGCGTTCATGTGTTTCCTACCAGCTCGGTGTTGGACATTAAATTGGTACTGTTGTAAACGCTCCAACCACCTTGCAACTTGTCCTTCAGGGTTCTTAAAATTCAAAAGCCAGGTGAGGGACGCGTGATCGGTCCTTAAGAGGAAGCGCTTGCCGTAGAGATAATGGTGAAAATGTCCTACAGCTTTAACTACGGCCAACAGTTCCTTTCTTGTGACGCAGTAGTTTAGTTCTGCTTTCTTTAATACTTGACTGTAGTACGCAATTACCCGTTCAGTTCCATCCTCTAACTGTGACAAGACTGCACCCACACCAACGTTACTTGCATCCGTGTCCAGGACGAACTGACGATTCGGATGGGGAAATCCGAGGATAGGAGGTGAAGTAAGGGTATTCTTGAGTTGAAGAAAAGCCTCCTCAGCTTGCATGTTCCAGTGAAATTTCGTGTTCTGTTCTGTCAACGTATAGAGTGGTTTGGCCACGGTAGCAAAGTTCTTGACAAAACGTCGGTAGTAGGTACATAGGCCTAAGAAACTCTTGAGTTCACGATGACTGTGTGGTTGGGGCCAGTTTCGAATACAGTCCGTCTTGTCGGGGTCTGTCTCCATCCCATTCTCAGAGACAATGTGGCCTAAGTATCGAACTCTTTTCTGGAATAGCGAGCATTTTTTGGGATTCAATTTTAGGTTCGCTTGTCTTAGGCGCTCAAAGACGTCTGACAGATGATGAAGAGCAGCTTCAAAAGTCTTTCCGTGCACCAATATGTCATCAAGGTATACGAGACACACATTGAGGGGTAAGCCTTGAAGAACCTTGTCCATGAGGCGCTCGAAAGTCGCTGGCGCGTTGCAAAGGCCAAAGGGCATTACCTTGAATTGCCACAAACCATCGCCTGTGGTAAACGCTGTCTTCTCACGGTCTGAGGGTTTTACCTCAACTTGCCAATAGCCGCTCCTGAGATCAAGCGTAGAAAACCAGGAGGCACCGGCCATTGCATCAAATGTCGTCGATCCTAGCAAGAGGGTAGGAGTCCTTTTTCGTGACGTTGTTCAGTCTACGATAATCCACACAAAACCTCGTGCTCCCATCTTTCTTCTTTACCAATACTACAGGTGAGACCCATGGACTAGATGAGGGCTCAATGATGTCCTGTTTTCGCATATCCTGGATCATTTCAGTGACCTCATACCTCTTAGCGAGCGGGATTCTCCGAGGTGCCTGCTTGATCGGAATAGCGTCACCAGTATCTATGTGGTGGTGAGCAGCGCTCGTGCGCCCGATCTCTGACGGGGAGCAAGCGAAGACATCTCTGTAGACGTTGATTAAATTCAAAAGGGACTCTTGTTGCGGTTGGCTGAGGTGCTGCTTGGAGCGGTCTGCTAGTTCCAGCAAAGACATCGGCAGCCCATCTTGCTTCACGTTGGTACTTTCTCTTCTCAGGCTTCTAAGGCTCGCAGCGTGGGACCAAGTCGCCATTCGACAACCTTTCTTGATGTTTATCGCTTTATCCGTTAGGTTGGCAATACGGATAGGGACGCGCTCATTGCTGAAATTCACAAGTGTTTTTCCGACAATGACACCTGGTATGTTGTCACAAGCCTCATCTCCTTCAGCGACTGCGATGCCTTCAGAACAGCAATTGCCATCAGTTGTCCAAACGATGGTTTCACACTGCGGGGAAACAACAGTTGACTTCGAACAGATGAGGAATCCACCCTCATTTTTCAAGAGCGCTCGTCTGCTGCACAGGATGATGCTTTCCTCGCTCAGATTTAGTGTCTGATTCTTTAGATCCATCGAGCAACCGTGTTCCTTCAGAAAGTCGAGGCCCAGGATACATTCTTCAAATATATCAGCGACATAAGTCACGTGTGAAAATTCTTGACTGCCAAAACGGAACATGAGCTGTGATGACGCCGTGACTGGTGCTATATCGCCTGTAGCTGTACGGAGGGAGCATTCAGCGAGATGTCTGTACGATTCTAGAGATCCCTTTATTCGGTTGAATATATCAAGTCTCACTAGAGTGACGTTTGCCCCAGTGTCCACAAGCATACTACACGCAATACCCTCGAGTTGCCCATCTACGAAAAGTCCGTCTTTGTCGGCTCGCAATTTATGCACCTGGAATGCAGTTACCGGCTCCTTAGTTTTATGTTCAGCCGAGTTTTGGCCGGTAAGCTCGGCTGACACTAGTTTTCCGTCAGAGAGTCCTCGCTTCCTTGCAGACGTGTCTCGGTACCATGCCAGTTACAGTAGCGCTGTAGGTGACCTTGTCTGCCACAGCTCCAGCACGTGGGTGGGGATCTACGACGCGCAGGTGCCACCGATGTTTTGCACTCATGCCGCAGAGCAGGCTGACGAGATGACGGGGCGGGTGGGAACTCAACGGCGGCAGATACCCGACTGGTAGCTCTGACAGCTCCCCTGGCCGCTTCCACCTCCATGGCTCGCGCAACAGCATCGCGCATGCAACCAGGTGACGAAAGTCGCACGAACTGCTGTACCTCCGAGTCAGAAATAGCATCCACGAAGTGCCCAGCTGCAACCAAATCAAGAGTAGAGGCTGCACAACCTTCATAGGCATGGCGTGCCAGTCTTTCGATGTCTGTCGCGAGTTCTGCCAGGGACTCATTCTTTTGTTGTACACGTGTACGGAGCGTAGCGTGGTATAGTCGCCCCAGATGCTTGTCACCGAAGCGTCCCTTCAGAGCATTCACGAGAGAGTTGTAGTCTCTCTGTATAGTTGCGGGTAGATTTTGCAGTACTTCCAGTGCTGCCCCTCGAAGTGCTGACGCCAAGAAAGCTCCTCGTGAATTATTTGTCCATCCATTTATGTCTGCCACTAGGTCGAAGTGCGTCCGGAAGGTACCCCAGGAGTTGCGTCCATCGTATGTGTCAAGTTTGACGATCATCTTTGGGGCGATTGGGCCCTGTAGTTCTTGCTGCTGGCTTGCTCCCTCAGAGGAAGTCCTTGGCTGCGACGACAGGGGATCTGTTACGACTGCGTGGTCCCCGACATGGTCGATGGGTGAGGTCCGGGAACCGCTGCTGTCATCAGGCATAGTTCCGGCGGCCTCACCAGACGATGGCAGTGCTGGCATTACGCCTTGAGATTCCGAAAGCAGCGGTGAAGCTTCACGGTCACTATGAGTTTGGAGTCGAGCGGC